TTTAGCTGTGGAATGCTTATTATCACGACTTCAAAGTGTTCATGTACGGTGAGTTCTCGATTTATCGTAAATTTATTGCTGTTGACATAAAATCTGAATAGTCCACGTTGTATTCTCGTGCTCTGTACTGTATTTTCTACTTTTAATATACTTTTTTTTTTGTCATCTCGGTTGTAAGAACACATAGCATGTCAGTTTCAGAATATACAAACACCTAGGTGATGTAACTAAAACCTACCATCTCGTATGACAAGATTGCCAGAGGCTTTCTATTCAAAATCAGTAAATACATCTCAGGTTATATTGGCTCTAGTAAAAGCGGACAACAACAGACAACATATAGAGGTCAGACCCGGTGTCCCTTTCTACTGCGTACAAGGGGTTTCTTTGATTAGGAAGCGGGAGCGCTGTCCCATATGATTGCAGCTTAGCAAAGCATTAGGGTTCTTTTTGAATCTTCCGCGTCCCAAAGTCAGAGGCAATCAGTGACAGAGCTAAAACGTGTTGGTACCTCCTATTGAGGGCCTTGCATTTCAATGTTAACAAGCGTTGGGACGGTGCGAGGAGAGCCGTGGCAATCGGTGACGAGGAGTTCGCCGTGATCTATCGGATACGAGCACAGAATGAACAAATTAAACAGTAAAAGCAGGTGAGCAAAGGATATGAAAACGGAAAAAAAGAGAAACAACCACCAGGCACGTCGAAGTTTCATTGAACTTTGTCTAATATGTCAATCAAGACCTCCTGTAATATAGAGAGACAGACAGATATAGGGAGATTGTAGTTACAAAATCATCTGGTTTGCTAAGCTGCAGTATGTACTGTGTAAGATGATAATGAAGGCCTCTCTCTCTGGACATATACATTCACGTGCATACATAGAGAGAGAGGGAGAGAATCAGCATTCTTCAAGGAACAGACCGAAAGAGGTTCGTGTTCATTTCATCTCATCGGATTTACCTTGAAGAATGCTGGGAAAAGTGACTAGTCAGTGCATGCAGGTAAACCAAATTGCTTTTTGCTCCAAATGTGCCGTTACACCCACCACACTACAGCAACACTCATTCATTGATGACAACAGGAAGCTCATGTGATTAAAACACTTTTTTTAAATGAACATGTTTTTAAAAATACGATAAAACTCAGCTAATAAGTTTATATTTACTTCATTATTACTCAATCTCTTAAATTCATCATTGAAATATATCAGCACGCAGCAGTGGACCTGTTAATGAGCATGTGCAAGAGGAAAGTACCATTTCAAAGCTCTTTGTACTGTAGATTCACTCTTCAGCAATGTTAAATGAACACTGAGTGACTTTTAAAAACTGATATTACAATGCAGCTTCACTGGCAGAACACGATGGCAGTGATGTCAAGGTCATGGTTAGTTTCCTTGGTAACACACATGCCGATAAAATGTATACGAATGAATTCAGGTTTCTTTGAGG